CTGCTGTACCGTGGGGTCCCTCCCATTGTAGGCAGCTCTCCATGAACTTCTCCAGCGTGAGATTTCTAACCATCAACAACAGGTAATTAAAGAAAAACTATTAACAACAGGTGATTATAACATGAAATTATTCACAACAAATAGTTAAAACTCCAACTTAGCAGCAATTGGTTTAACTTGTTAACTCTGCAACTTTAAAAAAAATGGACAACTTTTCTACTCATAACATGTGGGTGTCATGGTTTTGCGTGGGAGACACTTAGGGAAGTGATGCAAAGCTTTCAGCCACTAGAAAGCTGGACACGGCTCTGAAAAAATGCATGTTAAAGACGAAAGAAACCTGGGAACTTCTTCTTTTGCTTCTGGCCTGAGAACAGGTCACAAGGCCAGGCTGGCCCCTGTCTCAGCCAGGCCGGGCTGGGCAGCCCTGCCACAGGGCCGGGCCCCTTTCCTGGGGTGCCTGCAGGCCCCTCCCATTGGCTGCTGGGCAAGAGAGGGAGTGCCACGGGGTCAGGCCCCTTTATGGGGAGCCCACTGGGCCCCGTCCTGCCCAGGCCCAGGAAACCCATCAGATCCCATCCCAGGCTGGTCTGGGCAGGCTCTGCCGCCGGGCTGGGCCCCTTTCCAGGGGGTCTGGAGGACTCACTGAGCCCTGTCCTGGCCAGGCCGGGCCCCCAGCAGCTACCAGGCAGGAAGACGAGGGAGGCTGTGGAGCCCTGGCCAAAGCAGAGCCAGGCCGCAGCTGTTCAAATCTTGCCCTCAGGTCTCCGCCCCTCAGCACAGCTGAGACCAGAGGCAGCCCTGCACCTGCGCAGAGTGGCCCTGTGGCTGGAATGGGATGCAGCAAAAACCAAAGACCAGCAATGCAGCCAATCCTGACACAGCCCCAGCCACAGTTCCCTCCGCAAGCACCGAGTGACCATTTGCAGGCCCCAGGTGAGATGGTAACCCTTTCAGTGCTTCAATCCTCTCGAGTGAAAGGAACAAGATGCAAGCATGTAAAGGAACAACATGAAGACATCGAGGTCAGTGAAGAAGAAGTCAAGTCCCAGATGGGAGGGATGAGGAGATGCCTTGATCTTAGGGCTGAAATCCTCTTGTAAGCTATGGAGAAAAATAGTCTTTTTCCCTAAAATGCATGAAACTATGGGGACATGAAGGGTTCAAATTGATATTGAGCAAAGGCCTCCATGCTAAAGTAAGCAGATGTTAAAGTAGCTGTGATCCCATGAAAAGTTTGAACAGAGAAGGAGAGAAGAGTGATCCTGTGTCCCCAGGAAGAAAAGAAGAACTCTGTTCCCAGAGATTAAGATGATTTTAGAGACAGATGAGAACTTTTGCCTTTGAACAGCTCATCTTTAAAACAGTACCTCATAAGTTGACATGGCCTATAAACACAGCTGTGGGAAAAGCCTGTGGAAAATGGGAGGGACTTCATGATTGCAGATTTCCCCAGGCAGCTGCTATTTGTGACAAAATTGAAAGCCACAAGAGAACGGTTTTATTTTCTTGTGGAGAAGTCTCCATAACATTAACAAGAGGGATTTTTCTCCCTAAGTGAACTGAAGAAAGACTGTTCTAGAGGTGGTAAACTGACTGAAATTTCAGGTTTTTTTTCTTTACATTGTCAATGAAAAAGTTGTGGGGGGAGAAGTGTTCTGAAGGGTTTGTTTTGATTCTTACTACTTCTTTCTTTTAGTTACTGTTAATACAATTTTCTTTATACCCTTTTAAAGTTTTGAGCGTGCTTTGCCTTTCTCTTAATCCTATCTCACAGCAGGAAGTGAGTGCATTGGTGATTGGCCAGCACTGAATCTGCCACACTCTTTGGTGCATTGGCTGGGAAATCTCAAAATTGGTGAAATCTTAAATTGGCAAACCAAAACCACTACAGTGGGTCACTCTTACAAGGGGTGCAGTCCTTCAAGGGCAGGTTGCTCCAGCAGCAGCCCATGAGGTCACAGCCTCCTCTTAGGCATCCACCTGCTCTGGCATGGAGCTTCTACATGGGCTGCAGTTGGATCTCTACATTTCCGTGGCCCTCCATGGGCTGCAGGGGGACAGCTGCTTCACCATGGGCTGCACCATGGGCTGCAAAAGAATCTTAACTCTGATGCCTGGAGCACCTCCTCCCCCTCCTTCTGCACTGACCTTGGTGCCTGCATAGTTGTTCTTGTCACATGTTCTCACTCCACTCTTGTCTGGCTGAAATTAAAACTTAAATATGTTATCACAGAGGTGTTACCACCATTTCTAATTGGCTCAGCCTTGAGCAGCAGCAAGTTCATCTTTTGGAGACACCAGGGATTGGTCCTGCTGGACATGGTGGAAGCTTCCAGCAATTTCTCACAGAAGCCACCCCTGTAGCCACCCTGCTACCAAAAACAGGCCACGCAGAACCAATACACGTGGCAAGATCACAGATGTAATAACTGACAAATTGTACAAGTTTGAAAGCAAACCAGTGGGAGATCCCAAGTCAGAACTACAATTTAATAGGAATATTAAGATAAAGGCAATAATACAGAAACACTGGCTTAAACTGACAGAGTCAGGATATGACCTGACATCCTGTTGGTCAGGGTGGTAGTAGTAGTCTGATTAAATGGTGGCTGCAGTCCTTGTGATTCTGTCAAAGTTGTGATCCTGTAGTGAAGTCTGGTCCTTTTCTGGAGGTCCAGTGGTGATTATGGAGCTCTTCTCTGGGAATCCAGCGGGTAGTGCTGCCCGTGGTGTTCCAAACCTCGGATTATATCCAGGTAGGAATGCTTGGTTTCTCCCCCTGGGCAGAGCATTTCATGATGGTATGATGTAATTTTATGATTCATGCAGCGAGACTTGATAGCCCCTTAGCAGAGGATAGTCCCTAGAGGGAGTTATCAGAGATGAGTCATGGAAGAGATAAAGAACACTGTCCCACCTGTTTTTAACAGCTTATGAAGATGGTAATAGAATACATACTTTTGGTTACATCTTACATTGTAACGTAAGACACAAAGGTAGAAGCAGCAGCTCCTAGTCGACCTTAACAGCAGCCTTTTTCCCATGGGAAAATGCATACCAGAGGATCGTCTGCAGCCATAAATACCTATGCGAGAATGCTTTAATTAAGTGGCCCAGAACACTGGGCCGCCAAAGGCTGCATGCACTGTGAGTGTCCGAGATAAAAGAGCAAGAAACATCTGCTCTGCCATATATTTTCATGATTGGTTAGTCTCCTATTCATTGGCTGCATAGTTTGACCCTAAACTTATACACAGAAAAAAACACATAAATACTCATGTATGCTTAATAAAGTGATTCTGTCAACTTAGAACGAGGTCCATGTTTTTCAGTAGCTACAATGAACACTTCCATCCCAAAGCTATCTGCCTCCAAGGTATGACCACCCCTCACAGAGCATGCACTCTTGATTTTATTGACTATATCTTAGAATTTTACACCAGTCAGTGATAAAGGTGTGTATGCTAGAGTCCCTCAGTCTCCACCTAAACATAAAGAAATAGTATAAAAGTTAATAATTATGAGAAGTTAAGGAAGAGTCTATTGTAATTCCTGGGATCAGTCACTGGGCTGAACCTGTCTTCTCCCCTGTAGGGGCACCTATTGGGTAAGAACTGTACTCTATGTGTGCTGAATGATTATCTCAAACCAGCTTTTGTTAGGGATTACAAGTTTTCTGTGTATTGCTTTTAATACTTTTTTGCAGACAGATACTGTAACCAGCAGTCTTTGAACCTTGTCTTGTCACAATTTTATAATAATAAAAGTGTTATTCCATTAACTGTTAGCGTGAGTCCTTCAAGGGCACTGGCAGTCGCCGGCACTGGGGAACATACTCGACTGTGGCGACCTGGAAGGGGGTGTCCCTTATGCTGTTGGTGTGTGTCCCTGAAAAAGTCATTCTAACTGCCCTCCGACCCAGTGGACTGCTCAGTGAAGTGTCCCCCTAACGGGACACTGACAGGCTGGTCAGGCACAAGGGTCTTGGCTTTCCTGGGGTGCTAACAGACTAATCAAACACAAAGGGTTGAAGAAAATCTCCCCTTCTCATGTGACATGGGGCAATCCCCAAGGAGTTCATAAATATCAGAAAGGGCAATGAAGGTGGTGAGTAAAGCATGCTGCCATTCCCAATAAAAGGCTTGTGCACTTTGTCACCCTTTGCTAACAAAATTGATTGGTTTAGGGGCAGGGACATCCTTCCTGGAAAAATCCCCAACAGGCCCTGTTTTCACTGTACTTCACCCTGAGTTCAAGTCTGATGGTAGGGGTGAAGGGTCTGAAAAATTGATGCTGTAAAATGCTTTGAAGAAGGGTTAGGGTCTGTTGATGACTCATGTTCTTGTTCCATGTGGAATGTTTGCACAGCAAGAAATACAAAGGATGGGCTAGCAGACTTAAAACCAGGGACACAGGCATGTCCAAAGTTTAATGCGCCTAGAGGGCTTTGGAGGTCATGTTTGGCAGAGGGAGTAGATGGAGATAAAACAGATTGCAAAACACTTTGAGGAATATCTTTGGTACCAGCACTCAAGGAGACTTCTAAGAAAATTAGGTTTTTGATAGGATCTTGGCATGTAGTGGGAGGAATAGAAAGATTCCAGTGTTCTTCAAGGGTTGAAATTAAGAGGGTTATATCTCGTACAACAGATTCACATGCAGGTCTGCCCAGAAGAATGTAATCTATAAATCAATGGTGAAAAACATCAGGAGTGAGAGAAATTTCAGCTAAAGCTAAGGCCTCAGTAGTCAATAGTCAGACATTGATACCCATTGGGTTGCACATTGGCCAGACAGAGCTGTTAAAAGGGGAGTGTGTGTGAACAACTATTCCTTGTTCTTCCACTTCTGTGAGAAGGCAGGTGGTAGGGTTTGGGTTTTGTAAATGGCTGATCTCTCCAGGGGCCGTTCAGGTCCGATCCAACTAGCTCTGGACCCTTGGCCCCTTGCAGCCTTTACAAGGACAAAAGTAAAAGACTGGAGGCACTCTTCTCCACTCGGGACCAAAAATCACACAGCTTTATTGTGGAATTACTCCAGGGGATCCGAGATGGGAAGGAGGTGGTGTCCCAGGAGAAAAAGAGAACTTGGGGGTCTCCTCCCAGGAGATTTAAGCTCAGGGGAAAGGGTCAGAGGAAGGGGGCCACAACCAATGGGATACAAGTGAGGAAAGGGTGAGGGGAGGAGTAAACCTGGAACAAACCACTACCACTGGGGCTTGGGGGGGGGGGGGGAGGTGGAAGACCATGTGATCAGTGAAAAAACAACAACTAAATAAACTATTTAGTACGATACAACACCTCCCCCTTTTCTGTTAAGAAAAAATAAAAGAAAAGCATTGGCCTATTCTGGTACAGATTATGAATTCGTCCACTACTCATGATTTGCGGGCCTGTCAGTTTGCTTTAGGTCCACAAACTCTGTGTGGTTGACTTTTGAAGTAGTGGAGATAAAACCATCGATGGCTTTTAAAAATATGCAACATAGAATTCTGAATGCTAACATGATTAGAAAAAGAACAACAAAAAACAACAGAATAGTCTTAATTATTGAAGTCCACCACCCCAAGAGTCCCCAGTCCTTGAACAGTCTGCTGAACCAGTCCTTAGATTCTTGCTTGACTTGTCCAATCAGGCTTTTCACTTCTTGGAGAGCCACATGGACATTCAGTGCTTTTGATGTTAGGTTCAAGCAGCAAAGTTCTTCGAATTCCTGGCACTCATGTCCATGCAGCAGCAGGAGGAAATCTATGGCCACACGATTTTGGAGTGTGGCCTGCCTGGTACTCTCCTCGTCCTCTAGGAGGGAGCTGATGGCGGCAGATGTCAAAGTTTGCCTGTTTGACCACCCAGCACTCTAGGTGGCCCAATTCACCTAGAGCTTTGGCTGCTGCAACCCATGGATAGAACAGGGATACAGTGATTTGCTTTGACTTGGCCCAATGAAAAATGTCTGGATCGCAATTTGGGTCCAAATCGTCAATGCTTCTCTTTTGAATTTTGCTGACCGAATTGTTCTTTCGAGTCCATTCGCCAGTCATGGTTTGGTTGGGTACCAACAGGGACAACCATCTGTTGGTACATGGCCTTCCTAAAAGCTGAGAAGGGATTCCTGCTCATGCCCGGTCCCCACAAATTATAAACAAACCTTTAGGGAGGCTTTTGGGATGGGAATGGTACAGGTTATCTGCTGTGATATGGCTTAAAACCTTACACCACCTTTTGGCAGTGAACTCTTCTCGGTATTGCAGTCTGTTGTTAAAAGGTTTATGTTGGAAAGTGGGGTAAAGTGTATGCAGTATGGTGCTGGGGAGGAACCCAACAGCTGTAACTCTTGGGGCTCCTGAGCTGCTCTGGGCAACTTTGGCAGCCACTCCTCTACGGGGTTCTTGATCATTACAGCTCGCCGCTGATGGGTATTGTGTGGTTGTATGTGATGTGATTTGGGACCTGGGTCAGGCATAGGTGTTTCAAACTTGGCTGGAAAATATTCAGCTTGCAATGGAATCCCTACTAGGCAGGTAGACATAGGGTCTTTCGCTGCTGCAGTGGACAGGCATATATTTTCCTGTTGGAGCGTCTGTGCTAGGGTCACCCAGATGTTCTGGCATGGCTGAGGGACGATCCACGCAGCTGTCAGACTGCTCAGTGCGAATAGGATGACAACTCGGATAGGGCTCAACGTGAGGTAGAGTGGGAGGTAGATTTCCTTCTCTAAAAGGAAAAACAAACTTTTTTTAAACACATTAAGTTCAGGGGTCTGCCAGAATGTAGCTAAATCTCCGGGGGTTAACCCCAACACCCAGTGATGGCATGGCCTGGAGCTGGCAATTGGGACAGGTGGCCACAATGGCTCGAGCCTGACTCCATGTTAGTTGGAAGTGATGGATCAGACCTGGCACATTCTGATGGTATTGCTGGTGACTTAGTTTTGCCTGTTGGAAGACATCTGGAAGGCGTGCCATTTCTGCTGGGGCGGCAAGGGAATCTGCTTTACGATTACCTTCTGCGATTTCGCCTGGCAAATTGGTATGTGACTTCACGTGCATCACATAGAATGGATGCTCCCGCTGTGAAACGAAATAAATTAGTTTTGAGAGCAACCTGAACAGATGCTTGTTCTCGATGTCTTTGAGAACTGCCTGCTCCGCCCTGGACGCTACTCCCACCACGTAGGCTGAATCAGTGACCAAATTAATTGGCTCTGAGAACTTCTCAAAGGCTCTCACGACTGCGGCCAGTTCGGCAACCTGGGGTGACCCCTCCACAAACTGAACATCAGAGTCTGGGGATTTCTCCAAGTCATGACCGACTTGTGGGATGCCCCGGACACTGTAAGCGCCTTGAGTGGCCTACAACTCCTTTTCTCAGGAGCAATGAGGTGGAATTCCTCATTAAACAGCTTGTGTGACAGGGCATGGACTGTTACCTGTCCACTGTAGCTGTCCAGAGATAGCTGGAGGCTGGCATTGCTCTGGAGCAGGTGCTCAAACATCTCTTTTGTCAACCTCTCAGGAGAGTTCCTTCCCTCCTTAGAAAGTCTGACCAGTAGGTAAATACACTGAAAGTCACAACCAGCCAGCTCACGCAATCTTACCCCGGCCTTCTGGATCAGCTGAACTATCAGCTCTTGTGGCTGTGTGATGGTTTTGGATTGCTGGTGGGAGAGGAAAATCCACTCTATGATTAAGAGTGAATCCTTCTGCCCTTTGATCCATTGGAATATCAAGCCATGTAAGTGTGGTAACTTTCCCAAAACAATGAATTTGAAAGGCAGCTCAGGCTGATAACAATGAGCCTGCCTCTCGGCCATAGCCTTCTGCACTTTTTGGATGGCGATTTTTGCCTATGGGGTCAGTTCCATGGGAGAAGCTAGCTCTCTCTCCCCTTTCAATACATTGAGGAGGGGATCTAGGTCCTCATTGGTGAGGCCTAGCCAAGGCCTGACCCAGTTCAAAGACCCACACAGGGAATGGAGATCTGCTAGGGTTTTGGGATCACTCTTTATTTCCAATTTCTGCGGAACAATGGTCTACGCAGTGATCTCCAAGCCCAGGTACTTCCAAGGTGGCATCCTTTGAACCTTGTCTTTCTGCAATTGGAATCCAGCAGAGGTTAAAACTTTAACCACTAGGTCAAGTGTGTTTTAGAGTATTATGTCATCGGGGGCGCACACAAGCACATCATCCATGTAGTGTAGGATGATTGCCTCCCTTTTCTGGGCGCACACTGGGGACAGTAATCAAGCCACGTACCACTGGCAGATGGAAGGACTGCATTTCATGCCTTGAGACAATACTCTCCAGTGGTAGTGCTTCATTGGGGCTTCTCGATTGATGGTAGGAACCGAGAAGGCAAACCGTGGTGCATCTTCCGGGTGTAGGGGAATATGGAAAAAACAGTCCTTGATGTCCAGGACAGCCAATTGCCAATTTGGGGGAAGCATTGTTGGGGAGGGCATCTCTGGTTGGAGTGACCCCATGTCCTCAATTACCTTGTTTATTTCTCGTAAATCATGGAGGAGCCGCCACTTATCCTTCCCTGGCTTTTTTATTACAAAGACCGGGGAATTCTAAGGGCTGGTTTTCTCTTCAATGTGACCTTTATCCAATTGCTCTTCTATGAGCTTCTCGAGTGCCTTCAGCTTTTCTTTGCTGAGTGGCCACTGATTTACCCAGACTGGATTATCATCCAGCCATGTTAACTTGTGGGCAGGGTGCTCCACAGTGGCTGCCTCTAAAAATCCTGGCATGTCTTAGGGATGACCAATTTGACCCCTCACTGGGACATGGTGTCTCTATCCACAAGGGAACTTTGTAATCAGTGACAAACGGAGGGACACTGGCCAATTTTCCATCCAGCCCCTCAATTTGCACAATACTTTTTGAGATCTTAGCCAATGTGACTCCTCCTACACCTTGGATTTTGCTAGCCACGGGTTGCAAATCCCAATGTGACAGCCACAACCTTTCAGGTATGATTGTCACATCTTCTCCCGTGTCAAGCAACCCTTCCATATGGAGATGGTCTGCTCCACACATTAGGTTGCATCCCATAATGGGTTTGTCCTCACCAGCCACTTCTGCCCAGTAGACACCTGGTGCTTTGTAATCTACTGAGATTTCTGCTGGAACAGGAATGCCCTGGGCAATGATTTGCCCTTTGGCCAAATAGAAGGGTGGCTGTGGACAGCGTGCCAGGAGAATGAGGTTGGGTATGTCTCCCTTGATGGTCATGGGAGCCACCTCAATCTCCATGGGTGTGTGCATGGTGCCCCCAATAACAAAGTACTCACTGTCCAATCCTGTGCAATCTAACGGCAAGTCCTGTGACTCCTCCGGCAGGTCCACTCCAATGACTGTCCACTGGGTAGACCTGAAAACAAACGCTTTGGTGGTCACAAGCTTGAAATGCTTGTGAGGCCCCCAGATTTTGTCCTGTAAACATTTCTTTTGTTGTCCTGCACCCCGCCTCCCCTCCTCCCCCTTTTCTGTTTTGAGGGAGGTTTTTCACTTGCTGGAAGCCTGCTGCATTTATGTCATGGTGCGGCGCGGGCTCGCGCTTGTGTCCTAGTTTTTTTGTTTGATGGTTTTTGTCTTCTGTTTCTGGCTTTGGGGGCAGTCTCGGGAAAAGTGTCCTGGCTTCTTGCATTGGAAGTAGATGACATGTTTAAGCTGCTCCGGTGACATCTGTTCCCTTCTAACTCCTGGATATACAGATGCCACAGTCCCTGAGTTTGTTGACTTTGCCTACACCTCCTGTGCAGCAAACAGTTGTGCCTTCCTAGCACACGCCTCGATCATCTGTGCCAGTGTAGGTGGAGGGTCAAGAGGCAGTCCCAGGAGCACCCTGCTGCAGACCTCATTGGCATTTCTCTACGCCATGTCTTGAACTATCTCCGCCTGTGTCCCTGGGTCTCGTACTTGTCTCTCAACTTGTGCACGGAGCCGGTCGACAAACTGCAAGAAACTCTCTGAAGGAGACTGTTTAATGTTAAGGTAACTACCCCAAGCTTCAACAGTCAGCAACTGGTTAAAGGCCTTTTCTGCAGCTTTAGAGATCTTATCTAGGACGAATTTAGATAACACCCAAGCTTGGTCCTCGGCCTAAGCCCACTCCCCCTCACCGCATAGATGTTCATAAGTGATGTCATTATCTTCTAAATCTTTGGCACCCTGCGTGCTTTGCTTAAGTTCTACCAGGAGTCCCCTCAGGGATCTCTTCCAGGAGCTTTCCCATAGATCAAACTCTGATTGGGTGAGCAGGCACCGGAAAAGATCTTGGAGGTGAGTAGGAACAAATTCAAGAGATGTTAAAGTGGCTCTCATCATGCTTCTAAAAATTTCACTGTTTCTTCCGAATTCTAACTGACTTTTACACAACTCTCTCTTTGTTTGGTAGGAGAAGGGCTGATAGTTTCTAGGCTCACTTCTACCACCAGTGTATAGGACGGGGCCACTAAGGGAATTGCTTCCTTCCCCCAGTTTTGATCCCCAGGGTTTTCCTTTTTGGACGCACCCCCGTGGGGACTGGCAGGGGAACCACCTCCTCCCCTGGCCCCACCCCTGTGGGAATAGGGAATGGGACCACCCCCTCCCCCTACCCCCCCCCCATGGGAGCCAGAAAGTGGCCCACCCCCTCCCCCAGTCCCACCCTCTTGGGACCCGAGCAAGGGGGCGTGGAAAACAGGAACAGGCAGGGGGGCAGGGCTTTGTGGGGAGGTGGAGCAACCGTGCGAGCCAGGGGCAGGGTTGGAGGATGACATTATGGAGGGCAGAAACATGGAGGGAGGGGGAGGAGTGTCCAAGGGAAGGAAGGGGTTGTGGGACCGGAAGGGGTTGGGGGAGGGGACAGGTGGGTGAAAGGGATTGTGGGAAGGAGAAGGGTAAGTTTGGGGGTCCGCCACATGGCCGCCGCCATCTTGGCCCCCAACCACATGGTCGGCGCCATTTTGAATGCTGACCATGCGGTCACCGCCATTTTGGGGATGGGGGGGGTCAGAACACAAAATCGGGGAAACAGCAACTGGGTTAAAGGGGTGCAGGGAAGGTACTCTGTCAGCCTGCGCACAACTGCCAGAGCCAGGGTACTGAGCGGGAGGCAGGAGACCAGGGAAACAGTGGCTGTGCCAGGTACCCTGCGATTCTCGGGGTGCCTCGCACGTCCCTCTTAGTTCAGGGGCAGCGGGTTTTGGAGAAGGGGTAGGGGGAGCTGCGGGAGGGGAGGTTTGCTGTGGCTGTCCCTTCAAATCCCTCTTAAGCACTTCTTTCTAAATCACAAGGAACACAGGGAGAAATTGAGACATTGTTCTGTCTCCCTGTTCTGCCTTTGCTGTTAGTAACACTCCAATTTTGTCCCAGGCAGAGACAGAATACACATTCTGCTGGGTAAACTGAAGGAAATAAAAAGATATCCAGCGAACAAACTGTTTCAAAACTCCTTTGCAAACCTTAGCGTTTCCACTACTTAGAGTATCTTTAACTTGGATATAAATGCCTCTCTGTGTTGCAGAAAGCTTTGCACCCATTCTGGTGTTATTTGCTTTCTGCAAAACTTAATCTGCCTTCCTTACAACAAGCACAAACAGAAAACTGAAAGCACTCTGTCCACAGCCAATCTGGGAAAGCATCCATGGTGTCCCCCCTCCCCCCCCCCCCCCCCCCGAGACAAGAGGTTTAACCGTGTGCGTGCAAAACCGCATGGCTTTTAAAATGGCCGCTGTGCCGCCCCGAGCCACGTGGCAAAAACACAAGCCCCGGCTTCACCGCTGCCCGCGCCCCACCGCCCCACCGTTGTAAACCACAGCTCGGAGCCGCTCCGACCCGTGCCACTTGCAGCCCAGGGCCGCTCCGCCTCTCGGACCGTGGGAACCGGCACCGCGCGGACCAGCAAAAAGCCACCGGACACACAACCCCCCCCCACGGAGCTGGATCCTTCCCCTGTGCCAGAGATAAGACCCCCCCACCGCTCGGGGGCCACCCCGGGGTCCCACTACCACTCGCAGGGTATACTCACCCCTTTCTGGGGACCTGGGTTGGCTGGAACGATGTAAGGAAGTCCTCTTTCCTGAGACAGGTTAATTCAGGGCTGGAACTAATTGTTGGTTCCACCCTCGTGTCTCTCCACCATCCAAAAAGCGACTGCAAGTCCGAGGTACCTGACAGTCCCAAAAGCTAACGTAATCCACATGTGGATTACCAGCTGCAGCGTGACGTCTCAGACCTCTTGGGAGATGAACACGTTGGGGGTCCAGCTGTAAATGGCTGATCTCTCCCAGGGCCATTCGGGTCCGATCTGACTAGCTCTGGACCCTGGCCCCTTCCAGCCTTAGAAGGACAAAAGTAAAAGACTGGAGGCACTCTTCTCATCCCGGGACCAAAAATCACACAGCTTTATTGTGGAATTACTCCAGGGGATCCGAGATGGGAAGGAGGTGGTGTCCCAGGAGAAAAAGAGAACTTGGGGGTCTCCTCCCAGGAGATTTAAGCTCAGGGGAAAGGGTCAGAGGAAGGGGGCCACAACCAATGGGATACAAGTGAGGAAAGGGTGAGGGGAGGAGTAAACCTGGAACAAACCACTACCACTGGGGCTTGGGGGGGGGGGGGAAAGACCATGGGATCAGGGAAAAAAAAACAACTAAATAAACTAT